ATCTATGACAACCTCCTTCATCCTATGCATCTTTGGTACGAAATCCACGAACCATCTGTTTAAGGTGCACTTGGAAGTTATTCTTTGTCGCTGTGTCTTAATGTCATTCCACTTCTTTGATAGTTTATCGAATTGTTAATTAACTCATTATTGCAAAACAGAACGATTTAGTTACCGTGAGGGTATCATTTCGACCAGGTTAATGTCATTGTAAATAAGGTGGTAAAAGGACTATTGTATAGCAAATTATTAATCAAAATGAAGGTATCTGTGTGCATATTGGTGTTTATATATGTGTACATATATATATACATATGTATACATATATATATGCTTGTGATGTAGTGTTCGATCGATCCTCGTCTCCGTGGCCCACTGATCGCCCCAGGGTCGGCAGATTTGTACTAGACTTGTCTGGGAAGATTGGAACACTGAAATGCATTCAATCACCTCCAACGATGCTGAAGGAAGTCGAATGCATGGCGCATCTCTCAGCGATTAATCAGCGCCGAGAGCTTTATCTGTTATCCTTTTATATATATTCATATATATATATATATGTGTATATACAACGTATAGTATATCTTTTATAGCTTGCTCAAACAATGGGAGCTCTGGAGTCCATAATCAACGCTGCACGCATCAGCTCAATTCGCTATGAACCGCCACTGGTTTGTTTCTATGCTACGCATTTTCAAAAGCTTCAACAGATTATTTTTTTAATCTAACTCTGTCATTGTTTGGTTTTACAAGTAGCGGCATGTGGCAACCCCTCTAGATTTATATCATAGGAAAAAAAATCTTAGTCTAGGCAGCATGCAAGAATCTTGGAAAATTCGAGTTGTTCCATAGCATGAACTCTGAAGAAGTTAGTTATTAGCTCGGCATTGATTAAAAAAGTTGGAGGACGCCAATACATTGTGTTCACTAGCTTTTGTTCGTTGGTCAAGTTCTATAGCAGAATACGACAGAAGACATAGTTGTGTGATATTTTTGTTGAAATAAACAATACGATAATCGTCTCCGATTTTTAGGACAAGGAAGCTTTGGCCAATGATGGTCTAAGAAAATTAACAGCGAGGCAGGGTGATCCATTTGGACTGTTTGGTGAACCGAGCCTTGGATCCGTTTCCTTGGATTTACTCAGTAATAAAGGATAAGAAGAACTTTTTTTAGTTAAGGAATGCTTCGCCGCTCAATAATCGTTCACTACAGGCATGGTTAAAATTTTCGGAAGTAGCTAGTGGTATGTGAAATGAACATGTCTTTACCTAAAAGTGACAAGTTTCTCGGACTAAGGAGTATGTCTGTTGTTGATTTTCTTGTTGCTTTGTTGGTTACTTATTTTGCAATTTCCCTCATTTTTTGTTAAAATATGTTTCATATGATAGGAAAGGAAAAATTTCATTTGCAGTACTTTTTAAGATTCCAGCAGTTGCTAGTGCAGTCTGGTTGCGCGTGGAATCTTCAAGAATTCGGGATAGCTCTTACGAAATCAGTATTTTGCACGCAGTTACGTAGGGTGATTACTGGTCCTTCTCTTTCTTAGGCTTTGTTCAAATTGATACACTGGTGTGATGGTGATACTGCCACAACTTTATCGATTTTACTTATTTTAAATGGTACAAACCTGCAGGGATTTGCGACTTTTAACATTCTGTAATAATTCCTGGCGCGTGTACTGCGGTGGACAGAGATGTCCTGCAGTACGCAGATGGTTATTGGATCGACCTAGTGCACTGGGCTAACTGAGGCCTTCTTCCTTTTAGGTTAGAAAATTGGGAATAGGCTTGTCTTTGAGGATAAAAAGGCTGAGTTGATACAGTGGTAGCCCACCGCAGGGCATAAAGTCCAGATATGCATTTAAATCACCTTTAACAACGGTTTGTAAAATTGAGTGGCGTGACCTTTAGAGATTGATCAAGGTTGAACGCTTTATTTTATTCTCTAGCCTTTATAATAGTCCCATATGTTATTACCTCATCTTATTCTTGTTCTGTAGCTATTCAACCTGCCCGGAATTTACAAAATGTCACCAATTTCGTTCCATGCTCGAAGACTTAGCGGCTCATTGATTGTTTCGTCGGGAGAGGAGGAGTGGCTAAAAGAACGGCTGCTTCCAAATTCCTCACATTACCGACAAGCTAGTCAAAATGGTCACAGCCTTGCTGAATATTGAATTTTTCCTGCTCTCAGTAAATCTGTATAGCTGTTCTTTGTTGTATGTAACAATTACTTTACTGTTTGAGTCATGTTTGTTATTAGTCAAGAAAGGAATATGCGCGGTATATTGTCCTTAACACCCTCTCAAATTCTGTGGAGTGCTTGTTTTCTGCACTATTTCATTGTTTATGTGTTGTTTTAATTTGAAATGTGGTCAGTCAAGTGCGATGTACTCGTTTTTAAAACATTTCTGTTTCTTTGTGACTCACAAAGAAGCTTATTCCGATTTCCTTTGAGAATACGGAAGTCTAGTTGGAAAACAGCGATGGATGAAACGGACGGTTTTATAGCTTGTCGTTTAAGAAGGAGTGGACGTGTAGTGGGATGGTTAATTCCATCTAATTTCATCTAATTTATTTCTTTATCAATATAACGGCTAAGAGCGCGTGTGGCGCAGTGGTTGGAGGCGCCACTGCGACACATACGTGGAATCGGTCCCGCGCCCATGGCCCACCAAGCCCTCCATCCCTCCGGGGTCGGCAAACTGGTACCAAACTTGTCTCGAAGGATAGCAGCACTGGCTCGATACATCGGTAGACCACCGCGAATCATTGTAAAGGCCAGATATGCATTCAATCACCTCCAACGATACTTATAGAAGGTGAATGCATGGCGCATCTCAGGGATTGGTCAACGCCTGAGAGTTCTTAGCTTTATACAACAGCTTACGCTTAGGATCCGACGTGAGTTGATTTACGCTCACACTGTTCGAAAATAGCAATCGATTCCAACCGCATCTCAGTTGAAAGTGGGCTTCGTTATATGAATTAGAAACCATTATAATCTACAGGTATTTGCCAGTGACATCTATATGGTGAAGGAGATTATATCACTGTAAATCGAAGGTGTTGCGTCACTAATGTCATTTTTGGCCTAAGATTCGATAAGAGGTCGGATACACTTTGGATTTTTTATGATTATATGGGATTGTTTTTACTTCTTCGACTCCTTTCGTGGAAGATCACATTTTGACACTTAAGCGAAGTTCGGCACTTCTACAACAGTACGGCGGCGTCATGAAAGTATGAACACAAGTAGCACCCGAAGCTGCTGATAAGGAAGAGCATTCGCATAACCCGACAGGATTTCGTCATTTATAAGACTAAGATGACTGCCTTCTGATGCCTACATACCCCTGCCCACACCCAGTTCGGGTCTCCGGTTTTGTCCATGAAAATGCCTGCGAGTGTAATCAATCGGTTTCTCTTAGGCTAGTATGATACGCTAGGCAATAGAAAACGTCATCCAAGACCTCTATTTGCTTCTCATCGATAGCTGCATTCACCTGCCTTTATTCCATTTCAGCAAAAACAGATATATCGTTGCAACCGTTCTCCGTTTTGAAGTTCGTCATTGATGAGGAAACGTACAACGATCGTTTTGGTAAGAATAAATGAAGGAACGGCCACGAACCCTCATCAGCACTCTTCATAGGTTACTAGAGAAGAGGAAGGGTGTTTCGTAAGAATGCGGCTTACCCAACATCAATAACTATCTCTCAATCTAACTATGTCTAATGTCAGTCATTTAAATGGTACTTCAACAACTGATCCTTAATCAGTTCTTCGAAACATGGAAGGAATATAAGTCATGCTAGTTTCTAGGAGGTATCCTGAAGAGTTGGCCAGAATACAAGCACGATACTGCTATGTCGCACTTCCGCCAACTTAAAGATTCTTATTCTACTTAGACGAAAGTAATCAGTGGAAACTTTTGACAATAAGAACATTTTTGCTTAACAAGTAGAGATGCTTCATAATTTATCTATTTAACAGCTATGCAATTAGAATTTCTAGAAGTTCTATAGCTTGCGCAGTCATCGAGGTAAGGTGAGTGTGACAAGGCTATACTGTCTCTCAGATACCACTTGGTGCTACCCTAGGTAGCGTTATTCGAAAACAAGTGGGATAGCACGGAATTGCAAGTAGGCGGATGACGCTACGCCATCTTAGGCTTTAATGATGAGGATCTTCTTAGGACATCAAGTAGAAAGCTGAGTTAGTTGCGGCTTAAAGGCAAATCGCTCTCAATCAGCATTCGATATGTCAATGCGTACGGAAGAAAACACCGCTAAGGTATAGGTGAATCCGGCGCTAGCACAACCAGTATGTAAGTTTTTGACAAACCTTTAACGCAAGACTTAAATGGGAGCATTTTAAACTATTGGAATTCCATTTTATCGTTTCACTATTACTACTATACACTTGCTGTGTCATTCTTTTTCAAGACTAATTGCTCGCGTTCTTCCAAAGTAGAGGAGCGTACTTCAAGGAAACCGTCTGAGTGGCTTCTTATAAATCTTCTACCCTCTCGATTCTAAACTTTTGGCTAAATCTATGTGCATGGTGCAATTTTCTCATAATACTATTAACTTGGGTAGAAGTCAATTTATCGGGTACGACTGAGACGGGAACTTTTCCTCAATCCGTAAACTTCTTAAATGAATAAAATTGCTTTTTATTGGCTGCATTAGCACTCTTATCCATCGTATTTGGACATTAAGCATCACATTAAGCAGAGTTATATTTCGCAATATACCCTGCCGTTAAAAAGAGTAGGCAGTAAATAATAAGTTAAAATTAAGCATAATGTTAGAAGCCATTTATTACTTTAAGGTTTAAATCAGTACCAAATAAACTCATCAGTGGTTTTTAGAGCACGGAATAGGGAATTTGGTATGAATGGACTTTCTTGACACGTGACTGTATTCCAAGTATAAATCAAATGTATTGCTTCGATATACCGTGAGGTTTTTTCTTGTCCCATGAAACATAATTCTACTTTGTTTGATTAGTCGTTGCTGGTGCGGATTCAGGTTCTTTTCTTAACGGTGCTCCGGGACCTTCGCCTGCTTTTTCCGCTTCAATTTCACCTTCCTCCCAATCGTAGGGATATTCCTAAACTCATGAATAACACATAATAGTTGGATGTAAGCTTACCAAAATAAAACTTTTTCGGGTAGGAAAAAATAATTGGTTCCCGATTCGGTACCTCTTGACCACTCATCTTGATAGCGTTTTCCATTAAGCTGTAGATCTTTTCATAGCTTGGATCATCGGAATACGACAGCTTGTCCACCTCTTTCATTATATCCACAAACTCGACCGGAAGTCCTGAGCGGCTTGCATTCCTTTTAGTCTTTGAAGTTCAAAGTGCAGTTCGGCAGCACAGTTACCTCCAAGAAACTCGCGCAATCCCAGTCCTGATCTAACCGATTTCTGATAGTCGAAAATGTGCTTAGGATTCTAGAATAGGTACTTGTTAACATAAGGGAAACAACTAATGTTCAGTTATTTGTTTAGTGTTCCAAATTAATAACGTACTTTGTTTTGAGGTTAAAAAAAATTAAAGCTGTTTACTAAAACAACTCTACAACATGGAAACATGCCAACATGTAGCCAGATAATCCTACTACGGTTCTAAATCAGGTGCTACGCGACAAGCTATATAGTTTCCTGTTACCGACATTAACATTAACCCTTTGATGAACCCATGGCAGAGCTCCTTTCACCAATTCGACCGTCACATACATCCACATTTCGAGATCGTCCATTCGACCCAATTCTCGCTTCAGATAGGCATTTCGTGGGGCGTATCTAAATTGATATTACTTTTTTTTGTAAGATGATGTCATCTCGATTTTACGAAGTTGTTCCTTGTAAATTTGATTGTTCCTTTTAAGAGATTCAATTTTGCAAGCGAACGGTGAAAGAGGGATTTTGTTTGAACTGTAACATTTTCGTTGCCTAAAATCTGTTTTTGGAAGCAGTAAAAAGGCATTCTGGCGTTTTACTGATATACACCCTATATATTTATAATTCATGTGTCTTATTAGTAACACCTCGCGTTTGCTCAACAAAAATACGAAGAATTACTTGATCAGTGCCGATGTTAATAGAAAGTCGGTCGTGGGAGTTCATGTGCCTTAACTATGAAGTACGTTTTTTGCACAAATTATGGTGTAGAGCAGTGGTTAGAGGCGGCTTGCAATACGGACTTGCTCTTTGGTTTGATCCTACGCATTGGCTTACAGCAGCCACCGTTGTTCCGGAGTCACAGAAGTGCTATGAGGCTTGCCTGATAGAATAGAACGTTGTCATTATATAGTACTTGGCTGGACAATTCACTATATAAACCAAACATGCATTTAATTACTTCTGCGATACCTGATGAAGTCGAATATATGGCACGTCCTTGGAAATGATTAACGCCAAATCTACTATCCTTTATTCCTGTATGGTCATAGAAATTTATAGGAAGTCCAAAGAAAATTTATAGGAGTATATTTCGAATTGTTTACTACAAGCTTAAACTTCTCTGAAGTGTTTTCCATTGGAATAGCGTATCCGCCTCCATTGGCTGCAGGAGCAATAACAATGTGTTTGTATGGGGCACCTATTTTACCGCTCCTAGGCATATAGTCAAAGAGTCATTAATAACATTGTGAATAATGGACTCGATCGATTATATAATTCTTGACCATTCAGTCGATTAGTGGTAAAACTGGTTGAAAGCTGCGTTCTGTTAGGCATTCTTTTATGGATATCATTCAGAAGAGAAAACGAAAGATTTTTACGTTGCAGTCGGACCCAAACATGAACTCGACGATCTCTATGGACGACGGATGTTAAACAACGTAGCAAATGGAGGAAGTTCTAGAGTGGTTATGCCATGTGAGCCAAGTCGTTTAAGTGTCTAAATAAGTACCTATGTACAGCAGAAGTATCGAAATCAGTCCCGTATTTTTCTTCTCGGAAAATCCTGTGAGGTTCCGATACTAATCATCGAGTTAGCAATAATTTTCATAGAAAATCAGAACTGAAGGTCAAGTTAGTTGGTGCTTGTTCGTTTTGTTCCTTTCATTCCTACGTAGTTGGATTGTCAGCCGTCTCACCGAATTAGGTCAATTTTTCGGCAGAGATGTCATATCTCTTCACCTGGGCTTTCCCATGTATTTTGATGGATTCGGACGCGGAGGTTTGTGTGTTCCATCGGCTTCCTTGTACTGACGGGCAAAACCGAAGTCAAGAATATAAACCTGAAAAAGATGAAAAAGGCATCCTTCCAGGTTATACCAAATACGTAGTGTCAGAAATTAGTCTTGTACTGCTAATCTTTTTTTCTTTTATTAAGAAAGCATTCCACTTATTTGTTCAGAATCACGCAATTTCCATCGCGTGCGTAGTTCAGAGATTCGCTGATGAAAACATTTAAAAAACTGAAGATACTACTATATTTTTGCATTCCAATGTTTTTTACAGTCCTCTAAAGGATGCTTGTTTTTGTCTTCTCCGTTTGCTTGCTTCGATTCTGGTTTAGGCTTCTGGTTACATAGCGAGCCACTATGGAACAAAACATCGCCCACCAAGAATCACTAGTAGACTTGGAATGGTTACAGGTGCAACGGATTGAAATAAACAAAATTTTTTTAAATGGAGATTCTTGGAAACTGTATTTTAGCGTACATTTCGTAAGTCTTTCGGATCGTCGTTGATCACTCGTCCGATTGCGAATATGGACGGATTCACGGATCGATGAATAAAACCAACCTAAACAGGTAAATCGCTCTGAGTGTCCCAACTACTAGCGGTGATTATCCTGGGTTCTATGCTTGTGAACATATCACATCCAAACATAGTAAAGTTAATACTTTATGCAATTCTTCCAAAGCTTTCAAGCATTGCATTCCAACACTAAGACCACTTGCCAACGATACTTTTCCGTTTTTGCAAGCTTTGCGCAGAAACTGAAATTTCATCAAGCAAAAACTTTACGGCAATGAAAAATCGAAACATCTTTTTGTAGTGAAGAACTGCTTAGCATACCCGAAAATTTCTTCCAGCAAGTGTTATAACTATCCAATTGTATTCAGCAGCCATACCGCGATCGAAAACCCTGTACTCAGAGAAGTGTTAGATTCTTCACTCAAAAATCGACTCGTGTAATGAGTTGTAAAAATAATTTCCAGCCGAGAGTGCAAAAAGAAAAGCATGACTATGTGGGTAATGAGGAAGAGAATGGAAGATTCTGGAAATGGATGAATGTTTAACAGTACAGGCTATCCAAGAAGAAAAATATTAATGTAGTATTACTTGCAGAAATGATTGCTTTTAATCTTTTCCATGTGTAGCAAAATGAATAACTCAAACTTCAGCATCGTTACTTCTGCTTCTTTCTTCTCCATCTGCAATACGATAGAATGGTAATATGGTAGTTCAAGTAACAAAGACTCAAGGTCTCCGTAGGATAAAAAAAAGGATAAAGCTCTCGGTGTTGATCATTCCCTGATGGATGCACCATGCATTCGACTTCGTTAATCATCGTTTGAAGATGATTGAATGTATATTCGGCCTTTACAATGACTCGTTGTGGCCTACGGATGTAACGAGCCAGTGCTGCTATCTCCCAAACAGGTCTGGTACCAGTTTGCCGACCCCGGTGGGATGGAAGGTTTGGTGGGCCATGGGCGTGGGGATCGATTCCACGTGTGTGTTGCAGGGCGCCTGCAACCACTGCACCACACGCTCTCCTTAAGGTTTCCGTATAGCAGGAAGAATATTCTAGAGCATGATAGACATTTAACTCCTCCTGTATCAGGCTTATTATTTAGCAGTAGAGTTCATCCTCTCACGTCGAAGGTTTTGACCATATTCGCTAAGGCAGTTCTCGACTCTAAGCAAATCCTGTTTTTATTCGCTATTTTTCTTGAATAAGCAAACACAAGGCTGGTATTATAGAATTTCATGAGCTAGAAATGCTTCGTGCCACCACAATGCTACAGTTGATACAAGCAATAGTTGTTGTTTTCAAGAATGAGTTACACTTACGTATCATCATTCACCTACGGAAGACGCGGATGCACTGAACAATAACGGTCACTTTCATTTTTTTATATGTTAAATATGTGTAAGAATGACTGTACCATTTATGAACGTTTGCTCTTAGGATTTTATTTTCTATGTAAGCTAGAATATGTCAGCAAGTTCTTTGTACTAAAAGGAACTACCAAAAACGAAAAACGTCAAACCCAATACGCTCTACTCACAATACCCGTTACATGCGCACTGAAACCAATACACGCCGTCGTGAGTCTTAACCACTGAACTTTCTGATGCAAGTTCATTTTCTGATAATGCACGTCTTGCCTTTAATGCTGCCAGATAGCCTTTCTTCTTATGTTCAACAACAAAAATTTTATTGAAATTGCGTTCAGGTTCGATTGGTCTTCTAACCTTCCAGTTACCAACTATTTCGCCCTAAATACACATTTTTATTGTAAATTAAGTAGAAGAAGTATAGTGCAAGCATAAAGCGGTCAAGATATATTGCAAAGAATATCATATAAAATTACTGGAATGACCAGGTAGTAATTATACTGAAGCTGTTTATTTTTACGAATTACTATGTTATCCAAGGACATGTGTGGCGCAGTGGTCAGAGGCGCCCTGCAACACATACGCGGAATCGATACCCGCGCCCATGTCCCACCAAGCCTTCCACCCCTTCGTGGTCAGCAAATTGGTACCAGACCTGTCTGAGAGGATAGCAGCACTGGCTCGATACATCGGCAGGCCACCGCGAGTCACTATAAAGGCCAGAAATGCATTCAATCACCTCCAAATGATGCTTAATGAAGTCTAATGCATGGCGCATCCATCAGGTATCGATCAAAGCTAAAATCTTTATCCTTTATCCTTTTACTACGTTATCCATCGCCTGTATCCCCTATAATTCCATCGATCGTCGAGTGACTTGAGTGGGCGCCAGTAAATCTTCTATGTTTTCCTGTCGCGAGCAATAGTAGCTGAGTGGGCTATGGTCGTTGTAAGGACTCGTTAAGTATCATGCACATTCATTATATTTCACGGTATTCGTGAAGAACTCTGACCACCGGGTCGGTCGTCTTCCTGCAGTACGTTTGACATCCCAAGGAATCCAGCCACTAACGACTTTTATCCATCGGATGTCGCTCATACACATTACGTTTCCGGCCCACCGTATCTTCGACAGTCTGGCTTATAGGTCGGAACGATTGATTTTTGATCTTTGACACAGGTTTGGGTTTCGGACCCCTTCCCTGACTTTTGTGACACGAGATACTCCTACTATCGTCCTTTCTACTGCGAGTTCAATAACGTTAAGTGATCTAGGTACCGAAAAGCTAAACAGTGAAATAAAGGGGCCTCATTCCTCTGAACTCTGAGGAGCCCCGCTTCGGTACCCTTGGGTAGGGCGATTGTGGAGAGGCTGCGAAAATCTCAGGGAATTCTAGGCTGCCTAAATCGCAAAGGACTAAGGACGATCTCCTAAAATGTACGCGCATTTGTATCTGCGCCCTCAATGGAGGACTTGGCCGTAGAGGCAAGACGGATAAAGTACGACGTCATCGTAGTGGCCGAGACGAGAAGTCACCACCCATTCAACGCCGTCTATGACAGTGGAGAAGAACTCTTCCTCTGAACATGCGGTTGTAGAGTCGGTGGCGATGGCGTGGTCATCTACACGAGTTTGGAAATTACAGTCGATTTATTCGAACAATGAGCAACCCGAACTGAATGTTTACGGTTGAAGAGGTGTGAATCAATACAGGCTTTGACAATCTTCGTCGCCTAAGCACCGACACCGAGCTGTGACGAAGACGAAGTCAAAGAGTTTTATTTGGACTTGAAAAAGTTCTACAGAGAAGATTAAACATTCTCTAGAGTCATCATTAGAGATTTCAACGCAGAGATTGGACCAAGAAGAACGTCTGAGGAACCTCACATTGGAACCGACGGATTAGAATGGAACAATCAGAGTGAGCGGCTATCTGAGTTTATCATGATGACCAAGAACATCCTTGGTAGCTCACAATTCCAGAATCCCCACCCTTAACGCAAGACGTGGGAGTCTCCCAACGAAGAGTACCATGACGATATAAGTCACATCATGGTAAATAGAATATTTTGCTAACCGATGTCGCTGTTATCCCAATATTCTAAAGTGGACCTCTTCATTCAAGATTTTATTTCACATGGAAAAGAGAAAAGGCTGTTAAATTTTAAAAAGAACGGGTTCTGAAGCCAACATGAACTGGAATTTACTGTTAATTAGTCGACTTTTTGGAAGAAGCCGTTCTCGGTGACATCGAAGAGGAATGCGATCACCCATTCAGCATCTTCATGTTAGTGCTAGGAAAGCTGAGAGTTCGGAAATCATCGGGAGAAGTCTCTTCCTGGAAGCACTCGAGCCGAAGCGCTGGCGTAGGATCGCACGAGCAACAGGCAACCGCCAATCCGCTTCTCATCTTGCAAAACAATGCAGACAAGCGATAATAGAAGATATTAAAGAGAGAAGAACAGTATTTATGGTGGGACCTGCACAGGCTGGGAAGAGTATTCTTAAATCCACCGATGCTTCGCTAAGCACAAAGCCGAGATGATTGAACTCCGATTTCCAAACAGAACAGTTACAAGTTCCAGAAAGGCAACAGAGAAAGTCATTTAAGGCTACTACTCAAGTCTCTTCAATAGTCCGTTTTCCCGCTTTCATATGAAATAAAGGAGGATGAATATGTCGTATTACCGGTTCTTCTTTCAGAAATCCGAGGTACTAGTTCATCGGTGAAAAATCGAACAGCATCAGGTTTAGACAGGATAGGATATGAGCACCTAAAGAACCTTCCGCCAGTCCTCGTAAACACGTTGCCAATTATCTTTCAATCCTCTTGCTATCCATCGTCTACAAACTTTTTACTGGATTCATCCTGAACAGGATAGACAGAATATTGGATGAAGGGCAACCATGTGAACAAGCGAAAGCTTCGAAAATGATTAAGCACGATGGACCATATCAACACCATAAAAGATTCTTGGAAGTACAGGAGACCGCCCTGTCTTATTTTAATGGATTTAATGAAAGTTTTTGACTTAGTTGAGATACAAGCAGTTATGGAAACTCTGCACAGCCAGGATGTTCCTGCTCAGTACACACATATTTTTCTTGAGCCATATAAAAATTTCGTAACCAAAATATCACCATTCTACGGCGTTATTAACACAGACGTTAAGGGAGGGCAAGACGATTCTATCTAGCCAAAATTATTCGCCGACATCTTCGAGAACCTCACGCGAACATTGGAATGGGACAACATGGGAATGAAAATTGATGGTAGGCATTTGCGCCATCTTCGCTTTGCGGATAACATCGTTGTTATGACACCAAACCTTAGTCATGCTGAATGAATGCTTGGCGATTTTGATAAAGCCTGTGGAGAAAGCGGTCTTCGACTAAACCTCGCAAAAACGATATTGATGAGGAACGAACTGCTGACGTATGCCCTATTCACGCTCAACAAGAAGAATATCTCCGAATGCTCCAGTCTGGGCCGGAAAATCATTATGATTCAGGACTTAGCTCCAGAGCTGAACGGGTGTAAGGATGCGGCTTGTAGAGCTTTCAAAAGCATTGAGGATATAGTGAGGAGGTGAAAGAACTCCGGAGTCGGTGTCCACCTTTTGGACTTCAGGATTCTTTCTACATCAAAGTATACGTCAAAAAGCACACGTAAGCAGGATAAAAGATCACTCAGCGTTATTGAACTAGCAGTAGAAAGGTCGATGCTAGTAGTATCCCATGTCACATAAATAAGGGAAGGGATCCGAAGTTCCGAGTTGCGTCAGCGATCGAAAATCAAAGATGTCGTTTTATACGCCAAACTGTCGAAGATAAGGTGGGCCGGAAACGTAATGCGTATGAACGACGACCGATGGACAAGAGCCATTAGTGGCTGGATGCCTCGGGATGTCAAACCTACTTCAAGAAGACCACTGACCCGACGTCCAGAGTTCTTGACGAATACCCTGAATTATAATGACTTAACGAGTCCCTACAACGATCATAGCCCATTCAGCTACTATTGCTTGCGACAGAAAAAAATGGAAGATTTACTGGCGCTCGCTGGAGTCATTAGACGGTTAAGGAGACGACAGATGATACAGATGATGCTTTACGACAGTGCGGGTACCAGTTTACCAACGCCGGTGGCATGGATTGGAGGGCTTAGTTTTTCTGAGCGTGAGATGGAACCATTGACCCCTGTGTGTCAGCACCTCTACGCAGTGCGCTATACGATACCTTTGTTTATTCGTTTCCCAGAAGACACCTCGAATAAAAATAATGAAAGAAATACATCGAATTATGGAT